CCCAGAACTCTGAATTAAACATGTTCCCAGGTGACTCCTGTAGGAACCAAAGTTGAGAACTGCTGGTTCATGTGGGCCGAGGGAATAGAGATCAGGTCATTCTGACTGTGGAGGTGACTTTCCTCCAGATTCTCACAGGGTCAGGCTCATCTCTGCATTTCTCTTCTGCCGGCCAGGCTAGGACACCAGGCTGGGCGTGGTGGAGACAAAGGTAGAAAAGGGGAGAGATGGGAGCTTGTTCACAGCAGCCGCTAAACACCTCATGTATGTCATTCAATCGTTGTCACAGCAGCCGTATTATTATCTTCATTTTACAGATAAGAAAATTAAGGCCCAAAGAAGTTAAGTAACTTTACTAAGGTCACACAGGTAGGCCAGGATGCAAGCAGAGGTCTAGATAATGCCAAAGTTCCCCAAGACTTTTCATTGTCTTACCTAATTTTTCCTCCAGGCTAACCTCTTGGCACATCAGAATGCTCCTGGACAGGGAGGAGGTTCTAACGATCCTGCCTTACTCATCTGACATTGCAGAGATAAGAGATGGAAAGTGACATAAAGGAACTTCCTGGAAGCATTTGTAGGAACATCTCCCCATAGCCTCTGCTCTCCAAGAATCTCAGACAGGTCTTATTATGGGATGCTTAATACAGGCCTCCTATGTGGGAACCCAGAATTAAAACTCAGACTTCCGGTTGGAGGGCATTTCCCCCATTAGCCTGGATGGGGGCACTGATTGGGGAAACTCAGTCTCTGACCTATTCCTGAACTGACAGTCCCTAAGAGGTGCCACCTGGAGAAGTCTGTTTAGAGTCCCCTCTGATGCAAGGGTGTCCCCCCAGATGTGATGAGGTGGAGAGAGGGGTTTCTGATGGGCAAGTTTGTTTCACTTGTTTTATAGGAAAAATTCTACTTCTCCCAGCTTATTTGATTTGGAATTAAAAAACAAGATTAAAAAAAGACCTGAATGGGTACAAGGTATTTTGCCATAAGAATATATAATTGATCTCAAGACGTGGAGAAACCTTTGAGCTGTTCTCCCTGGCAATGCAGTTCTTCTGATGCCTCCTGAATGTGTTCCCAGGGAGCACAATGGTCCTCTTGGACCTTGAGAGGACCAAGATTTCTCTTAGGATAGTGGTCCCCTAGTCTCTGCTTCCTGGACTCAGAGGGTCTGCACTCTGGGCACATCATGGTCTGGGTCCCACCAAGGGGTAAATCAGGTTGAAAGGGCTTTCAGGTCTTCTGTGAGGAGGGAAATGCATCCCACCAGGCACCTGCTGCCCCAGGGAGGGATTGTAGGGAAGCACAGGGGAGGAGGTGCCTTTTCTTTTGATGTGCTGGGGGAGGATGTGTATATACATATGTGTGCCTCTGCTGTTTTCTCCAGTTTTTAATGCAAAAGCTCGTCCTCTGAGTGCTGCCTCCACCTCTCTCCATCCTTTGGCTGCTCACCTCCCACCATCATTGTGCAATAGCACCAAGGGAACAAGAGGGGGCATGTTGGGGGGGTCCCTTTGTTTTTGAACAAAGCAGAAATGGGCGGGGATTTCGGGGGTGGGCAGGAAAGTGGTGTGAGGCAGTTGTGGGCTAACCCTCTCCCACTGCAGGCCCCCCACACAAAGAGGGCAGAACTTGGTGCCGGTGTCCTCATTGCTCTAATTTTCAGTGAACAGAACACTCAATTCTGCCTTCTCTAATGTCCGCATTCCTGAGTGGCCGTGGTGTGACACGGGGAATTCCCAGCTGGTCATTCCCTGTGCCCATGTGCATTGCAGAGCGATTTCCTTGATCTGTGGTTGATTCGAGTTTCTCACTATGCTTGGCTCCGGTGGTAATGACACCAATCTGTGCTTCCTGAGGTCCCAGAGATTGAAGCAGGGGAAGTTGGAGGCACTGGGGCTGGGAGCCGGAGCCAGTTGAGAGTAAGTGTTGGTGACAATGGTCCAAAGTGGAGGCGACTTGAGACTTGGCTAGGAGTGCTGGTTGCCTCAGAGTTTGACTCCAAAACCCAAACCTCCCCGAGTTTTTGAAAGGACTGTACTGCATACCTCCTCATGTTTTGGGGACCCTGTGTACTGCTGGGGAGAAACGGAATATTTGAAATAGAGTAGAAAACAGACAGAAGGTCTGATTTTCTCTGACGGAGGTCTTAGCTTAGTCTGTGAAGTTTCACAGGAAAGGGGAGCCCAGGAAAGAGCGCTGGAATCACCCACATGGGCCAACTTTATCATTTGGGCCGCCTGCTCTTCTGACTTCCCTGAACTCTTGATTCCAGACCACTCGGCCTTTCCTTTAAATTGGTTTTCTTCTAATAAAACTTTAGTTTGTAGTTACCCTTGAATTGCACCCTTTGGTTTCCACGGGGAATAGCTCTTTTATCAGGAGAGGCTGGGGGAGCTCCAAATCCTTGAACCAGAGGAGTTTGCTCTGCATTTTGCTGTTGGCTGCAAAGAGGGCTGCGGGAGAAGTTCCATCTTCGAACCAACGGTGCCTCTGGCTGACGATCTGATAGATGGACTGGTCTTTGCACACAGAGCATGGAAACTTATTAAAAGCTTATTAATATCTCTAAGCTCCTGGCTGTTCAGTTTTTTAAAACATGGTGCCATATCTGGGGGTGTGCATTTGGCATTTTAGTTATGCTTGGCCTAGACCCATGGTAACATCAAGGTGTTTTCCCCAAGCACAGACTTACGCCAGCAACCAGGACTACAGAAGGTGGCAGGGCTGGAAAGGGTCACCAGGTCCGCAGGTTGACGGCCAGCACATGGAGGCCACTTCTTGCCAAAGGTGTCCCTCAGACATGGCAGAGTTAATGCTCAAATTTTGATCTCCTGACTTCTCAGCCCCTGAGAGTTACCGTTTCCTGTGGATGAATGAGGTGCCCCAAACTGAACGTTGGCCTCTTGTCACTATGACCATGACCTCAAGGCCCAGACAGGTGGGAGAAAGGAGGGGAACAGGTGTCAGCTGAGCACTCGGAAGAGGCCACTGCCTCCCGTGAAGTTACAACCCTTTGGGCCTGAAGTGAGGATTCATAAGAATCCTCCCAGGGAAAGGCTGGGGGATGGGGCAGCAGAGGGGGGCTGGCAGGTGAAAATCTGTGTGGAATAGTGTCTTGGACTCACCTCCAATGAATAAATGGAGATGAGTCCAAGAGGGTTGATGTCTACAACTCCTGTTCTACCAGCTGCCTGCGTTCATCCAACCACCCCAGGCCTGACATGGCCCGGAGCCACATCTTAGGACAAGTTGGGTGTCAGAGCCAGGAGGAGACACTTCCTGCCCTCAAGGAACTTCCAGCTTGATTCAGGCTCCAGGCACATCAATGACATCCCTGGCCCCAAGCCACAAAGACAAAAACCAGAGATCCTCAGGGTTTTGGACACTGTGGTTCAGGGGGAGGAGGATGTGTGCGTGTGAAAGGGAGGGTGGGGAGGGGAAGTACAGAGAGCAACGAGCAACGGCAAATGGAAGGAGGGGTGTGGGGTGGCCTATGTGTCCATGTGGGACAGTCCTTGGTGGCCTCAGAGGGTAGACCTGTCTCCATTAGGTGGAGCCCTCACCTAGGAAGATCAGCACTGGGTGGGCTGAGAAGCAGGTGGAAAAAGAGGAGATGGAGGGAGCTTGTGTTTGGCATAAGGAGCCCAAACGTGGGCTGGGAACTGGTTTGAACCAGGCGGGTGGGGGTGAGAGTGATGAGGTTGGGATGGGACTTTGGCTGCTGGGGGCATGTGGGGTACGGTCAAGAAGAAAGAGGTCATGGGGGGAGCTGGAGCTGTGGTCCAGACCAAGGAGTACTGAGTTGGAATCAGGCTATGGAGGAAGAGCCAGAATCACTGGGGAATTGGGGAAACGCTGCATGGGTGGGGGTGAGGCTGGAAAGGCTTGGCCAGTGGGAGATGGGGCAAGAGGGAGCTGAGAGTCGGAATGCTGGAGGGAGCGCACACTGTGTTCACAAGATCACATATCCTTGCATCGCAGCAGCATTTATTGAAACACCGATTGAAATAACCCAGAAGGCAAGCCACCCACAGACAGTCGTAACAAGCCAGGGACCCAGGAAGTGGCCTAACCTTCTCCATCCCACCTGCTGCAAGTTGGACAGACCCCTCCTGCATGGGCAGAGGGAGATCTGGAGCAACTGTGGAGTTTTCTTTGAAATGTATAAAGTGCATTCAATAGCAATACCTGTCCAAAGTCAAAAGGATTTCCCTCCCCTTCATGGGCCTCTCAATGGGAGGTCACCGTGAGGAGTCTGGCTGGAACAGGTTAACTCAGAGGAAGGCAGTGAGTCAGAGAGTCTAGCATAACACACAAAAATGACCACGGAGCAGGTGCTCCCTGCAGAAACCTTCCCAACCAGCAGAGGGAGCTGCGGGGTGTGTTGGGGGTGGGGTGGGGGGGTGGGGGGACTTCCTCTCTGATTCTCACGTTGTTGGAGACCTGAGGATGGTTAGGCTCCTTTCTTGTTCCAGGGGGAAGGCCAAGTTCCCATGATGTGCAGCCACCCAGGTGACTGGTAATGTCCCAGGGAGCTTGGTGAACAGTGCAAATTGGCTGCGGGTATTTTTGAGTTAAATTGGACTTAAGTGAAAGGCTGGGAATGACTCTCTAACCCAGTGGTTCTCAACCTTCTGGCCCTTTAAGTACAGTTCCTCATGTTGTGACCCAACCATAAAATTATTTTCGTTGCTACTTCATAACTGTAATGTTGCTACTGTTATGAATCGTAATGGAAATATCTGATATGCAGGATGGTCTTAGGCGACCCCTGTGAAAGGGTCGTTCGACCGCCAAAGGGGTCGCGACCCACAAGTTGAGAACCGCTGCAACCGAAGCCAAGAGGAGAACCGGGAAACAACTCCCTAAAAAGAGAAGGTGGCGGAGCGGCCCCAGGGTCTGTCCCTCTGTAGGAACATGTGGAAGATTCCAGAAGCAAGCACACATTTCCATTCACACACCCTCTGTGCACATATGGACGCAGGTGGCCCCAGACTCTATGCAAAGCGGACAGACCGGCTGCTCCCGCAACTGAAGCTGGAGGGGCGCGGCTGGCAGGGGGCGCAGGAGTCAGGCGCCATCACCGTGATGCTGCCCCCGGTGGCCATGGGGCCCGAGACAATCTGGCGCCCCGGGGTGGTGCTACACGTGAGGCCCCCGCAGGTGACTCCGCCGCGGGAGCTGCTGACACCTGTGGGAAGAGGGGACACCTTGGGGTGAGGGGCCCGCCATGATCTCACCAACCCCGTGACAGATGCCAATGCCTTCCACATGGCAGGCTGCTCCTCCTCCTCAACCTGGTTAATAACTCATGCCCAGCTCCTCCCAGCCTCTCAGCCCTTCTAGGGGACCGGGGCAAGAAGGACCAGGGGACCCTGGGAACCCAGAGGGGCAAAGCTGCTTAGCCCCATTTCCATGGCCTGCAGTTCACTTCTCCACCAGGGAGGGCGCTCAACCCTCCGTGTCCCCAGTAAGACTCCAGGGGAGGATGAAAGGAACATTCCAGGTTCAGGGGGTTAGGCTGCAGGGTTCAGCTTTGCCCATCAACAAAGCCATTTTCTAGGGGGTTTCCAGCAGATACTTACACACATTCACGGCGCCCACGCCTTCACACAGCCTGTAGAGAAAGAAAACTCTTAACTTTGGACACTGAGCTGGATTCATTGAGATGATGGTTGCTTGGGCACAGAAAGGGCCGTCCTGTGTACAGATCCTACCCCCAGAAGCGGAAAGGGCTCCCCCCAAGTCTGCATTAAAGGCTCACTTTCTTTCTTTAACTGTTCTCTGACCACGGAGACAAGGTCTTCTGATTTTCAGCAGAGGTAGGTGAGATGATGAACTCTACCATTGCTTCCAATGTGGGAGACCAGACACATGCTGGGTAGTATGATTGGGCTCACAGAAAGCAGTCAAAGCACATGCAGCAGTGTGTGTGAAAGGGCTTTGTGGTCAATGAAGAGCTACTACGCGCATGTATGCGTGCATACGTATAGAATGCATTGTCCTTAAAATGAGCAGGCCTGCCCGCAGCCTCTTGTAGGAAGCTACTCAAAGACCATGGATTTCAGAGGCTCATGACGTGGGTGCAGGTCCTGGCTACTGCACTTATTAACTGTGTGGCCAGAGAAAGTCACCAAACACTGAGCCTTACTCCTTATCTTTGGAGGGGAAGAACGATTCCTACCTCATCAGATTGTGAGCACTTAGCACATGCTGAGCACATAATAGGCATTTGATAATTGTTACTGAAGCTTGACCTGTACTAGTGGTGGGTGGAGATGTAGCTCACACTTGGGCTTAAGGAAATTTACTCCCCCAGGACCACCTATACTCCACAAGGTCTTTCTTATCCTCACCTGTGCTCCTCGCCCTCCAGCAGGCGCCTGTAGGTGGCGATCTCGATGTCCAGGCCCAGCTTGGAGTTCATCACCTCCTGGTACTCCTTGAGCAGACAGGCCATGTCCTGCTTGGCCTTCTGCAGGGCGGCCTCCAGCTCGGCCAGCTTGCAGCGGGCATCGCTGATGGCCGCTTCGCCTTGTTGCTCTGCCTCGGCCACGGCAGCCTCCAGCTTGGCCCGCTATGGGGAAGGAGAAGTGAAGACAAGGATGAGAGAGGGAAGGCACAGCTTAGTTCACCCAAGCTGATAGATTAGGGCAGGGAGTGGAAGGTCCCAGAGAAAAGGCAGGTTAACTCCCTATGACCAGGTAGTTAATGGGATGTACACATGAAGGAGGAGATGGGTAAGCTTTCACCATCTCTCTTTGGTGGTGGTCACAGGATGGCCAAGAAGAGGGTCATCAGTGATACGGCTCATCCCAGCTCAAGTGTGTGATGTGGTAGAGCCCCTGCCCATTCTATGGGTCACGTGCACACTGTGAGGCCTGTTTGGGGTAAAGGGCTTGGTGCTGCTGTCTGCCTGTGCTGGGTATCTGAGTGCTCCCCACACCCGTACCTGGCACTTGGCATTCTCAATCTCGGCGGTCAGCCTCTGGACCATGCGGTTCAGCTCATTGATCTCCTCCTTGGTGCGGCGCAGGGTCTCCCCGTGACGGATCACTGTGGCCTTCATCTCCTCGCACTGCGGGGAAGCAGAGATGCTCCCAAGGCTCAGGATGAGACATCCCCCATTGAGGTCACCATGGATGTTAGTGCAGGCTGTTCAGTGCTCAGCCTGAGCAACCATCCATGGCAGCCCTGCCCCGTTTCCTCAACCTGAGCAGAATCCCCAGACAAAAGCAGCCTTTTCTAATATATACCTCACATCCCTCCCACTGCCATGACTAGGAGGCAGGTGTCCTGTGCCACTCACCTTGCTGCGGTACCAGGACTCGGCCTCGGCCCTGCTGCGGCTGGCGACATCATCGTACTGGGCCTTGATCTCAGCCACGACACAGTCCATGTTCAGGTCCCGGCTGTTGTCCATCTTGACGATGACCGAGGTGTCTGAGATGTGGGCGTGGAGAATCTGGAGCTCCTGGGGGATCAACAGCCAATGCATTTGGTTCTGTTGCCTGGTCTGGGCCATGCGCTCCACCCCTGGGGGCAGTGCCCACTCTCTGGAGGGCACACTGGTCATAAATGTTACATGACCGCTGCTCCCCATGTTCCCACCTGCTTTCGTTCACACACAGTGACATCATAAAGCAACAAAGCTGGACGGGGCCCTAGAGGTCAGCTGGGGACAGCCTCTGATTTAACAAATGGGAAAACTGAGGCCCAGTATATGAAAAAGGCCTAACTCAAAGTCACCCGCCAGGGGAATTGGGGTTTCAATGCCAGGACTAGTGATTTTCCCATTAATTAAGAGGCCTAACTAGAAACCCACCCTGATCCCCACCCCCACATATGTACTTTTATATCCATGTGTAGACTGACATGTGCACAGACCACCTGCAGGCACACACACTGCAACACAGAGAGGTGCTCACAGACATAGAGAGGCCCGACCACACACAACCCACAGTCCTCAAACACGTATGCCAGGCTCTCATACATACAGGTGTCTGTGACAGCCACACATCATGCCCTTTTTGCTTGTGTGTACATGCTCTTTTCATGCTTATATCACACATACACATGCAAACTCATGCACACAACACACCTTCGCCTCTCTCCCCCTGGTCTCCACATCTCCCCTCCACTGCGCTGGCTGGTTGGCAGGGGCCCCCTCACCTCGTCATAGAGGCGCTTCAGGAAGCTGGACTCCTCCACCAGGGCCTCCACATTAGCCTCCAGGTCTGATTTCCGCAGGTATGCGCAATCCACGTCCTGGTGGTGGAGAGAGGAGGAAGGGTGAGTGTGGGAGGCCCAACGAAGGAAGGGGCCTCTGTGGTCAGTGTGGTGACCGCGCACCCCGGTGGAGGTTTCACAGCTGGGTGTCCCTCCCTCCCTGCCTTGTGACCAGTCCCCTCACCTTCTTTAGAACCACGAACTCGTTCTCTGCCGTAGCTCTCAGAGCCACCTCCTCTTCATACCTGAGTGTGGGGGACAGAGGGGACAGAGCTGAGGGGTTGGCGCTTAGATACCAGCCCAGTTCCCAGCCAAGCTCTTCCGGGGGTCAAAAGGGATGAACTCCCTGCAAATGTTATCTTGTTCTTCCCATGGCCTCTTTTGTGTGTTATTCATGAGCTAGCCCTTGTGCCAGCCTCGCTTGTTCCACCCCAGTTCTGCTTGTGGGATGAGATTAGGGAATCCCTCTCTACCCCCAAGTCCAGATCCAGATAGATCACAGAGCCCACGTCATACAGGTGAGCTGGGAGGGGCAGAAACAAAGATAGCTGCAGAACCCATTGGGATTCCTTTCCTCACTCCTCTGAAACCAGCTCTGAGACCCCAGGACCTCCCAGCGGTGGAGGTGAAGCCAAAGAATCCAAAGAAACCTGGGTCTCTCCTGGACATTCCCTGGGGTTCCAGGTAGCTCCTGTTGATGGCAGGAATCTTAGAGAAGCTGCTTCTAGAAGGTTGTGGGCAGAGTCTTCACCTCCCCCTGTGTCCCCCCTGGTTATGCTGCACTCACTTCTTCTTGTAGCCCTCCAACACCTCCTGCACGTGGTTCAGCTCTGAGGCCAGCCTCCCGCTGTCGGCCTCCACACACTCAGCCTCCCGCCTCAGCGTCTCAATGTAGCCATTGAACAGCGGCTCCAGGTTGCTCTCGCAGCAGCGCTGGTTCTGGTAGTACTGCCACTTGGTCTCCAACAGCTTGTTCTGCTGCTCCAAGAAGCGCACCTGTTCAGGGTGTGGAAAGAGACTCAGTGGGGAGTCTGGGGGGTGCATGGCCCACAGAGCTCCCTCTGCCCGGATGTTCCCTGAACAGCCAGGTCCAGCCAAGTGCTGAGCCATGGGGTTGAGTGTCTGCAACTCAAGGGCCCTGGCTCCCCCAGGGAGGCAGTGTGGGTGTGAGGGAAAGCACTCAGGCTAGACACCAAAAGTCTGGTTCAAGCCCCAGGTCTGCCACTCTAAGTGGGAAAGTTGTCTAACCTCTTGGTGCTTGGTTTTCTCATTTCTAAAACAGAGATGATGATAGTACTTTCCTTAAAGTGGTGAAGATTGAACAAATTAATGCATATCAAGTGCTATGTGTCAGTCCCTGACACATAGTAAGTGCTTCACTAGCTTAACTATTACTGAAATCACTATAATTAACAATTATTATAATTCATTTATGAAACACTTATTGAATATTTACTAGGGCCTGTGCTAGGATACACACACACTCACACACACATCCATCAATACCCATAACATCTATATCTATATCATCTATATCTACATCTATATATCTATATCTATATCTATATCTATATCTATATCTATATCTATATCTATATCTATATCTATAATCTATTACCTCTATCTATTTCATTCAATCCTTACAATCCTTTGGGTGGGGAGATATTATTTCCCTCTACATACAGGTGGGGAAACTGTACTTGGTGTGAAATCACTAGCTTATTGCCACACATTGATGGAGCCAGGATCTGCTGTCCTTTGAGTCCACTTCACCTGCCCACCACAGTATGTCTAAATAACTCATCTAAACTCTCTCAGATTCAATTTGTTATTGAAAAAATAGAGATAATAATATACCCCATTGGGTCATTTTGAGGATTAACTTAGATCACTACAGAGAAAGTGATAACAGGAAGGTCACCCCCCCAAGCCCCCGAGCCCCCAATCCCAGACCCAGACCCTGGTTCTATGTACTCCGCCAGAGTGAGGCATCATGGACACCAGAGGAGCCAGTACGAAGGGGGGTGCAGAGGTGACCTTTATGGGGGGCATTTATCACACGGTGCCAGTGCCTCCTCTCACCAGCCTGCTGCCTTCCCTTTCATAGTCCCAGCCTTGCATCCGTGAAAGAGGCTGCCGAGCCTGCTTGGTTAGCTGTCGCACCTCCTTGCTCACTACTGTCCTTGGAAAATAATAACAGCTAACACGTACTATGTGCCCGCATTTTTCATGCACGAACCCATAAATCCCCACAACCACCATTTGTCTGAGGTCTCAAACTGCAGAGGGGCAGAGCAAGGATTGGGGAGGCACGGGGCTCCCAGCCATGCCCCAGCCGCTTCCCGTGCTGCCTGGGCCATGAGCCACATGCCTTTTGTTCTCCCCAGTCGCTCCCATTCTTTCAGCACCCAGTTCCCAGTCCAGTTTTTCAGGGGCAGCTCTGATATTCCTGTTATCTCCAGAAGCACACAAGCGCTTTAGACCGCAGACTTGATTTCTGGACCACTCTGGGCCCTCCATACACTTTGCTGGAATTAAACAGTGACAATCAACCCTCCTGCCTATAACGGTTGCATTTCTCTCCCTCTGCTGCCTCACACCTGGCTGCCATGCTGTGTCCCCAGCAGACCAGGACCTTCCCAAGGTGGGCAGGGCTGGAGCCTTCTCTGGACCATCCTGGGCCTCACTGACCTTGTCGATGAAGGCAGCGAACCTGTTGTTGAGACACTTGATCTGCTCCTTCTCCTCATGCTTCACGCACTGCGCATCGGGATCGATCTCCAGGTTGAGGGGTGTGAGGAGGCTCTCATTGACCGACACGGTGGTGATGCAGGGTGGGCTGGGCCCGCACACACCTCCTGAGCGGTATCCGAAGCTGCGGCCGCCGGAGCCAGAGCGGAAGGCGCCCACCGCCATGCGGGGCCCACAGGCGCCCAGGTGAGAGAGGCTGCGGCTCCCGAAGCCCCCGGTCAGCCCCCGGTAGCAGGACACCCCCCTATAAGGGGCGGCAGTGATGCAGCAGCGGCTGCCAGTTTTGGGGGCCACAGCCGAGCAGGAGCTGAAGGTCCTGGTGACCCCATATCCCGAGTTGATCCGGTAGGAGCGGCAGGACATCGTGTGGGTCTGAGCAGAGCCTGAGCCAGCGGGCCTCTTCCAGGGCTGCGGGTGCGCGGCTCAGGTTCCTCTGGCCTCTCTGGCGCTTCCTGGTCCTTTTATTGGAGGGGAGAGCGAGGGTTGGCCGCATAAAAGTAGTGAAAAGGCATTTTATGTTGTTTATTGGCTTGGGGAGTTTGCCAGCAACTCCCCAAAGACTCGTCTTAAAGGTGAGCTCAGCGGCGACTCCAGGGCTGCGTAAAAGTATTGAAGATGTTATTAGGAACACTGTGCGTTTGCACTTTTCATCTTCAAAGCTCGTTTACATACATTAAGTAATTAATTTTTTCATATTCTCCCTGTGAGATGGCCTCAACCCACACCTGGAGACGGATATGAACTCCACAACAGTCTCCGTGGCTGGTTTGGGGTAGAGGCAGGGGCCCAGGTTGGGTGAGACCAGGAGATGTTATCCCCTCTTTCCTCCTGGCTCCACGAAGTGTCCATTTGTCAAGTAAATCATTGAGTTTCAGGGGCCGATAGGTTAGGGCGAACCCAAACCCACCGGGCTGCATTGCCTGGGAGGTGGGTCAGGACAGAGGGGCCATGCTGACCATGCTCCCTGCAGGATGGGGAGCACAGTCTCTTAGAACCTTCTGGATTCCAGTCCAGAAGACTCTGCTTCAGGGCCTTCATTTCCCACCCAGCAAAACTGCAAACCACGTAACTTTCAGTGGCCTCAATAACAGCCACTTGTGGGTAATGGGAAGCCTCCCTTTGAGCCACTTTCTCCTGCTTGGCTGAGGGATGGAGAACCCTAACCTGGGGTAACCTGGCTGCTGTGGATGTGCTCCCGGCACCTTCCCTTGGCTATTTAAGAAGAAACAAGTCCTTTGAGTCTCTCTTCCAAGACCACCAGCCAGAGGAGGTACTCATCCTGTTTGTCAGCCCCAGAACTGTCGCCCTTAGGGGAACATTTAAACACTGCTCGGGGGGAAGGTGGCTCTTCTTGTCTAAGGAATGATTTCTGGCTCCTGGGAGCTCTGGGATCCTGGCTCCTTCTAACTTCCCTGCCTCCCGGTGTGTGTTGGGGACCCTTATTAGAAGCATGGTTGCTATTCTTTTAAAGTTTAGTGAGCACAGACCTGGGGGATGTGGTCCCTGCTCCTAGGGAGGTTAGCTAGACATCCCAGGTGTTAGGAGCCCCAGCTGATGTGAGAGCTGATGAAATTCCTTTGAGGGTGACAACTCCCAGAACCAGACACTGCCGCTCTGCCACCTTTGCCCGAAACTTCCCTCAAATGCACGACGTCCTGTACCGGGTCCGCCCTTGTCTCTACGGCTGGGCCCAGCGCAGGTCTTCGCTGAGGAGAGGCTGATTGGTTTCTGTCTCCACTTCCGAGTAGGACAGAAGGGCCTTGGGCCACAGGTGCGGGAGCAGGTAGCCTCATGATGGCCCCAGGTGATTTTCAAAGCATGGTCACCCATGGGAAAGCTGCTTGGACTTAGCCACTGGGTGATGGAATCAAAGTGGAAAAACCTGGTTCAAATTTGGACCCTTTCTAGTTGTGTGGCTTTGAGGAAATGCTTAACCTCTCTGAGCTTCTATTTGTTTTGGCCGTAACGTGGAATTCATCCTTACCTTCCAGGGTTGTTGGGAGGATTAAGTAGATAATAACACAAGCACGTGATTTGGGGACCAGAACATTCTGCATAAATGAAAGGGACTCTTGCTTTCTGTCAGAAGGCCTCCCCCCCGCCCCACCCACCCCTACAGCCCCCTCACCCCTCCCTTAGCAGAGACTGGGCCTGTTCTGTGCTCCACCCACGGCCTTCACCTCCTCTGCGTGTTTATGACTTCTTTACCGTTCCAAGGCTGCCTTTCATGTTTTCTTTAACCTGATTTCATTAGTATAAAAATTTGAGGTGGAGTCTGGGGGCGGAGACAGGAAGCGATATTGAGGAGCACAGGGGATGGTTTCCCAGCCTCCACCCCTCAGCTGGGGCTGAGCTGGCCTGGGTCCAGGGTGTATTTTGGTGCCTTGGACAGTGAGCTCACGGACTGACAGTTGTGGACCTGGAGCTGATGTGTGGGCCAAGAGGGATGCGGCCCTTTGAAAGTGGGGAGGAGGGTGGTGGCTGAGTGTGGGAAGGAGAGGAGGGATGAGCTCTCTGCTCAGCAGCCTCAAGAGCCCATAAAACCTCACCCTCTTCTCTTACCTGTGAGCCTCTGCTTCTTTCAGCTTATTGAAGAGGACGGAAGCAGACCATTTCTGCTGCTTCCTGGGGGCAGGAGGGAGTGAAGGCTTTTTCTATAGGGTGGCTCATGTATCAGCTGCACCCCTATGCCCCCCTCGCACACACACACAGAGACATCCCTCCCAAACCTCCACCCTGAATTGGACGTGGGCGCTGAGGATGGGAAAGGGGAGCTAGGGGACCAGGAGACCCAGAAAAGCCTCACTGCTTTCAGAAATAAGTTTGCCCATCCAGGATCAGCAGAACCATCCAGAACAATAGTGTGGGCACCTGGGTAGGCATGGAATAAGGGCAGGTCCAGTCTGGCACAGGGACGCACTCATGGGCACTAGGTAAAGTTTGTGTCACTGCAGATGGCAGCTGAGGCCAGGCTGGGTGGGGCTTCCCAGGATGGCTGTCTGGATGGCACTTTGGATTGGAGGGGCTGGGCTGTTACCAGGTCACTCAGGGCAAGTGAGAAACTCATAGGTCAGACCAGTCTGACAGCTGCCCTGGACCATGGCAGATAGGCCTTTGCCATATGGTTCTAACCAAGGGAAGTATCTAAAACCCATAGCTCCATGCCTCTCTCTGCCCATCACCCACTATCTGCTCAGTAGGACCAGATCCCAGTCTGGTCCTCCTCCTCATTTCCTGCCCTATTTGCTCCCATACCCCAAGCATTCTCCCTGGTTACACTTTGCTGGGATGTCCCCAAACGGCCAGCCACCTCTTCCAGGAAGCCTTCTGATCGAGTCAGAGGGAGGTTGTGATTCCTCCCTTCCTGTCTCAGGAGGCAGCTCATACAGTGCCCTTCTGGGTAACTCCAATTATCCCCTTCCACACCCTTTGTCCTGGGTGTTGTCCTCCATCACCCTTTTGGTCTTGTACTCTCCTGTCCCCACACCTTTTGAAAGTCACACCCAGTATCGGGAAGCCCCACTCAAGAACCCATGTCCTCCCTGTAATTTAAAATGCTCCCAAGAAGTCACCCCTTCCAGGAAGCCTTCAAGAGTTAATTGGATGAGAGAGCTTGTTTACCCCACCCTGGAGCCCCAGGCAACTTCCCCCACTCCCTCTGAAGCTGCTCCCCTCCTGTGGTCCATCTCCTGGGGTTTCCCCAGAGGCCTTTCCATTCCCATTGGATCCATCTCGGATGAGTCATTCTCCTCCTGCATGTTACCTAGCTTGTTGGGGGAATGCTTGCTCTTCCCCACTCTAGGGCTCACTATCTCCCTTCCCTTTTGCTGCCTCTACTATGCCAACCCCCCCCCCCCCCCACACACACACACACACACACAGCCCGGCCTGTAGAAATGCTTCTGGACTTGTCCAAAGATAAGGGAGCTCAGATACCTTCCCATCCTGCATGGTTGACCCTTGAGATTCTGTATTTGTATCTGCCGGGGTGCTCATGGATCATCTCACTGTCTTTGCTGGCTAGCTCTACGGAATAGACCCTATGGACAAGGCACATCCTGAGCAGGGCCTTGGTGGCTGCCCACATGGCTTATCCACGTGAGACATCGCCCATCATCTCTGCTGGTCTTCTCCTCACTTTTACTCTGTGTTTGAATCTGCACCACCTCCTGGTGCTGGGTGGGACACAGCTCTCGAAGAGCCTTCTAGTGCTGTGACACATTCTTTGGCTTTTATAAAACTTGGGCATGACTCAGAGACCCCATAGGACAGGAGTGAGGTTGGATCAATAGGAAGGAGCTGGATGAACCACTGGCCCATTCCCAACACAGCAGAAGCTGGGCCCCTCATCCAGTCTACACAGCTGCTCCCTGGGAACTCGGAGGTTCTCTAGTCTCGCCCCAAAAGCAAGCCACACACCCTCCTGCAGGCTGCATTCCCAGTGGCTCTGCTGTTTCCTGTGACTACTTTGGGTCACATCAGGTGCTAAGTAAATCCAGAACCTCTAATTTCAGAAAGGGTCATACTAATGGTTTGGAAATTTTTTCTTCTTTTATTTTTAGCACTAGAATCATTTTTCTAAATCGTAGGATGAAAACGGCTATCTAAAACTGATGGTTGATGCTATCAGCTACTTGATGTGGAGTGGGGATGTTGTTTGAGCCAGACCCTCGTGGCTCTGTGCTGGGAAGACACACAGGGCCTCTGTGGGACTCAGGTCCCCCAGATGTATTTCCTGGCCATCAGAAAAAATTGAAAGTGTATACATTAAAATAAAAACATTATAATAAGCTAAGTTCAATTTGTTATTGAAGAAAGAAAAGTATTTTTGATAAACTTAGTGCAGCCTAAGTGTACAGTGTTTATAAAGTCTAAGTAGCGTGCAGTAATGTCGCAGGCCCTCACTCACTGCCTCACCCAGAGCAGCCTGCTGTCCTGCCAGCTCCATTCCTGGTGAGTGCCCTGTAGGGGTGCACTATTTGTTGTCTTTTACCCCATATTTTCACTGCTATGTTTAGATATGTATATATACAAATACCATTGTGTTATAATTGCCTACAGTATTCAGCACAGTCCCATGCTGTATAGGCTTATAGCCTAGGAGCCATAGGCTACACCATATAGCCTAGGTGTGTAGTAGGCTGTACCATGTAGGTTTGTGCAAATGCACTCTATGAGGTTCATACACCAATGAAATTGCCTAACGATGCATTTCTGAGAATGTATCCCTGTTGTTAAGTGACACAAGACTGTATATATAGTTATAAAAGCAGATAGGATTGAAACACTGGTCTCTGCTTGGCTTGGCCCCATCCACTCCATTCTAAGCACTGGAGAGTGATCCCCTTAAAACATTAGGTTGGATTATGTCACTCCTCTGCTACAACACCCCAATGATTTCCCATTTCACTAGGAAGAAAAGACAAATCCTAGCAGTGGCCGGCAAGGCCATGCATGCACTGCCTGCTCCTGTTGTCA